CAAGCCCATGAAGATTGTGCTGGTTTAAATGAGAATGTTTCCATAGGCTCACGTATCTGAATACTTGGTCCCCAGTTGGTGGCATCATTTAAGGCTCTTAGGAGGTGTGCCTTGCTAGAAGAAGTATGCTACCTGAGAGCAGTGAGCTTCGAGAGCTTTGGGCTTCTTCCTGCTCTTTGTGTGTATATGCTATGTGTGTGTTATAGGAAGATATAGGTTGGGGAGAACACTATTAGGAAGAAGTAAAGATAAAAAAGTGAGAAAAATCTTTGTCAGATTAGATGCAATATTTGTGGGCAGATGAGATATGAGCCAACGTTCTTGTAAATGCGTTTCAGTAACCTATAGTTAACAAGTATATTTTAAGGTCAGAAACATTGAGGTAGGCTACCAATGCAACATTGACTAAGTGTTGCCAAGATAAAAAACAGCGCGGAGCATAAGATAATGTCGTGGTACCCGTGATGTATTACTGAGGCTGCATAGAGAGGAACAAGCAAGCACAGAGCCCAAAGGGAAGCCAGCAGTGGCTGCTCTAAGCATTGAGTTTTTTTAAGTTGTTTATGCGACCTTCTAGTGGATATATGGAAAGCTGACAACTGATTTCATCCATTGAACAAGGGACATGATGATTATGACCACTAATAAACCATGGTCAACGAGCTTGGAGGTTGGTGAGGAATCTTTGAGACTTTAGCAGGGTTACAAGAGGATGATTTGAAAAGATCTAGGTTTGAGTCACCACTATCCAGGGCAAAAAAGCAAATCAGGATGGCCAGAAAGATGACAGCTAATACTAAACTTCCAACTAGAAGTCAGTGGAACTCTTGAGAGTTCCTCAACAGGAAGTGCACCACAGCAGGAATGGACATCCTGTCAGGATCTGTCTGTCCCTTAAGAGCTCTCACAAAGCATAGACTGCTCACCAAGGTCCTCAGCCATTCTGTCAGGAGGAGACAGCCACTCCTGTGTCACGCAGGAGTCACTGCCTCTTAGCCAAGCATATGTGCCTACCTAAAACTGATCTGACAGCCGTGCACTGGGCACCACTGAGTGTGGAGATGCTCTCTGAAGAGGAGGTCAGAATGTGCCATTATAAATTTGGGTACCGTGTCCTCTGATGGCTGCCAGCTGAATGATTCCTTGCCACTTGCAAACACACACTGTTAAACTAACAAGCCATCAGTTTTTGAGATGGAAGCAGAGTGAACAAATAGATAAGAAAACCCAGGTGATCCGAAAGAGCATGCAGACAGGAACTCCTGGGTGGTGCAGCGGGGGAATCCAAGAAACTCTGTAATGAGGCTAATCCACGGAGGATAATAGGGAGTTTGTGACCACATGTGAGACTTTGCATTTCTAATCAGTTCATGTGCCGTCATGTTGCTGACACCACTGTCTTAGTCATAGGGCTCTAATTCATCAGCATTCGTGAAAAGCAGCCCTTCTCTAACTTTAAACATGTTTAATCGCAACAATTTACAACATCACCTTAAGGTTTTTATGAAGGAAAGGCATTTGATACATACTTACAATAACCATAATACTGTAAAGATTTAAAGTACAAGTTTTCACAGTGTTAGACCATTAAGCCAAATTGTCATGTTTCTAGTTAATTATTTGAAATAGTTTGGGGGAGAAATCAGCATCCAAAAATTAATTAATAGTTTTCCTCCATATAATTGCCAGTGTCATCGATGGCTACTGCTACTGGCTGCCAGTTCCTTTGTACCCTGGCTCTAGTGGCAATCAGCAAGTGTGATTAGCATTAACCACTTGTCCTAATAGCCAAATGCCAAATGTCATACCACATGCAGGATCGTAATTACACATTAGGAAGCGGATGGGATCAGCATCATTAGCCAAGAATTAACCCCAAATGCAGAGCCACTTGAACCGGTGCTTGCAAAAATACAACATCTCATCCTTGGGGATACTAAAATGTCCTTCAAGAGTGACAATTCTGTACCCAGCTAAGAACCTTGAGATTCCTTTTCAAAAGGATCCAAACCTTTCTTTGTCTAGAACAAAGGTTTCCACAACTGTCTCTTCCAAGATCAGGCAAACTTACACGCATCCCAGTTCCACTCCAGCGGAATCCAAATTCCTATGTAGGTATTTGCTGTTAACCACAGTCTCATGCTTCACGGCCCTTTGTGACATGTGTTTATTTGAAGAGGTAAGTCGGCGAGGCAGGGCCTTCCTCAGTTTTCACGGGCTCTCCTTTACTCTGGGAAATGCAAGGGGCCTTCTCCAACATGCCCTGATTGGAAGAAGTAAGCTGAGAAATGTTACCTGCCACCGCTGCCCTTGTTCCCCTCAATACTAAGATACAGCATCAAAGTGGCAGCAGCTGACACATCTGAGAGTTCAGATTTCAGCAACTTTGAACATGAACATGGGGCTAAGTGGAATGTTTCAAAACCCCCACTCAAAACTGAAGCCCATTGTTTCCATACTAGAAGTGGAGAAAGCTAGGGTTTCCCCAGGTGCATAACCCTGACAGGTCCCTGGAGCCACCAGCTGCCTTTGCATTCTGACATTGGGCTGGCTTCAGGGCTTCTTTGCTTCTCTCCCTTCCCCTGGGCCTGACTTCATATAGTCACTATTGGAATTAGCGATGACTATTCTAATCCAGTTCTAAACCACTTCAATTGTCTTTGGAATAAGAGAGAGTCTTAGTCAGGGTTATTATCACTACGATGAAACATCATGACCAAAAGCAACTTGGGACGGAATGGTTCATTTGGCTTATAAAGTCCATCACTTAATGATGAAGTCAGGACAGGAGAAATGCTACTTATTGGCTGATTCCTCATGGCTTGGTCAGCCTGCTTTCTTATAGAACCCAGGACAACCAGGACAGCATTGGCAGCACCTACAATGTGCTGAGGTCTCCTGCATTAATCCCTAATCAAGAAAATGTCTTACAGGCTTGCCTACAGCCTCATCTTATGGAGATGTCTTCTCAGTTGAGAGACTGAATCTTCCCTGATGACTACAGTTTGTGTCAAGTTGATACAACACTAGCTAGCACAGATAGGGCATTGAAATTTCCTTGGACCTATAGAGATGCCCTAAATGTATAACTTGATGGTGTTCTATGCCAAAATTTTGACTTCATCATCTGATTTCATGACCTAGGAATGTAGAAAACCACGGCTGACAATGTTATCTTGTTACAGTCTAGCATAGTAAGGCTGCCTAAGAGATACTGAGTCCAGATTTAAATAAATAAGCCAGAAAATGAGTGTCTTGATGCAACTGAGGACTTAATAAGAAGAAGGTGAAAATATTTTAAGGCAAATACAAGGACTGGAAGCAACAGAGTTATGGTCCCTCGAGTTGAGAGTAATCGTGTAGCTTTCTTTCCCTTTATTCTTTCCTTCCTTTGCTTTCTTAATTTTTGTTTTATTGTGGTTGATACTGTCTTCTCTATGTCCCAAGATGGCCTGAAACTTGCTGTGTAGCCCAAGATGGCCTCAAATCAACAAAACTCCTGCCTTGACCCTTCCCAGGGTCATACAATCTGAGGTGTTTTCCACCATGCGTGCCTTCTCTGTGGATTCTGGAAGACTTTGACGATCGTAGAATTGTAGTTACTATTGAAAATATAATTTCATTTCCTTACAAATAAATAACACCAATATATTCTTGGGAGTCTCTGTTTAAGAAAGCAGGGATTGACAGTGTGTGCTTTGGAAAACTTTCCACCTGGGTTTTCGGAGATGGCTCAGTCAGTAAAGGGGTTAGTTAGCAAGTCTGAGTACCTGGGTTCAGATTCCCAGAACCCAGCAACAATAAACAAACAAATAAGGGCTATAAGCAGCAGCAGGGACCTGTAATCACAACACTGGGAAGGCAAAACCAGTAGGATCCCTGGAGCTTGCTAGCCAGCCAGCACAGCCCAGTCAGTGAGGTGTAGTTCCAGTGACACACCCTATCCAAAAAAAAATTAGGTGAAAGGGGCTGAGGAGAGGGCTCCTGATGATCCCCAGAATCCACATAAAAGCTGGGTGAACACAGCAGCTTGCTTTTAATCCTAGTAGAAAGAGAACTATTTAAAGAAGCTGGGTATCCAGAGCAACCAAGATGGCAACCTCTGGGCTCGATGAGAGACTCTGTGTATAACGTGGATAATGATTGAAGAAGATGCCTAAGGTCAACTTCAAGCCTTCACTCATACAATCACATACACTCCTTGCAGAACCAGTCTTCCAAACTCATACAAGCATGCACACACACACACACACACACACACACACACACTCACACACAATAAAACTTAAAAGAGGATAATAGCCAGCCAGCTAGAGAACTTCTTCCTTGCAAAGCTTAATCTTCCAGCCACATTCCCAAGCCTAGAATGCTTAACTAACAGTGGAAGTCCTCCCGGGATGGAAAGGCCATCCCAGGAGAAGTGATGTAAGCAGAGAATGCAGACTGGCTAGCATCGATTCTAATGAATTGTGATGCAGGTAGGAGCAATTCTAACTAGTTCCAGGGCTATCCTGACTCCCTACAGGGCTGCTCATCACAGGCAGAAAGCAGAGAGTTAATGGAGAGTTGGAGAGTTCATAGCTAGCATGCAAGAATTCCTTCCCTTTCTCCACCAGTTGATTGCTCATTACGAGCTCTAGACCCAACGACAGTAGCAACCTCATTCCTTGTTTGTCTCTGTGTGCACCAAAATGTGGTTTCTGCCACAATGGCAAAAGAAAGGGACATTCATGAAGGTCTGCCCAAAACTTCTGGGCAAAGGTTGTTTCATAAATCTCATTAGGATTTGAGGCTTGACTCTGACATGATATAAATCCCAGCTGTGGAATATGACAAACCTAGATTCCCCAGTAACGACTTAGACCCACCTGTAGCCTGCTTTTCTGGGGCCAGTTAAACAGAGGGTATCATAGACAGCAAATTGAACTCTGCCCTTAGCGTTTCTCAGTTATTGTGAACAGTCAAACGTTGACTTATTCCCTGTTCTGTTGTGTATACAGAATTATGCGAAACTCATTCCTGGAGCGACCGTGGGACTCCTTCAGAAGGATTCTGGGAACATTCTTCAGCTGATCATCTCTGCTTACGAGGTACGCTATTTCCCCTTGTGAGCAGTTGGCACCCTTTACAGCACCTCATTGCCATCCATACACTAAGATGTAGGTAGGGAACTCCACTTCTGTTTGTTTGTAGAAGGACTGCTCATCCAAAGAAAGCCCCTCAGAATTCATGCAGCTAATTTTTTTTTTTTTGAGACAGGGTTTCTCTGTATAGCCCGGGCTGTCCTGGAACTTACTCTGTAGACCAGGCTGGCCTCGAACTCAGAAATCTGCCTGCCTCTGCCTCCCAAGTGCTGGGATTAAAGGCATGCACCACTACTGCCCGGCGCAGCTAAATTTTTATTTACTTTTTTCACCCATCTTTCCAAAGGGAGTAGCAGGTAGAAAAATCAAAGACCTCCAAACTGAGGTTGTTTACTGTGGCTGTTTTACCCACAGAAGCATGGCCTCCAGAATAACTTTAATACAACTGAAAAGACTCTGAGTCATGATTGAACTCCTCTCTGCTAAACAAACCAAAAACAAAACAACAACAACAAAACAGCATAAATTGCCAGTGAGTTATGTGGGGATCTAACTCCACAGGTTCAAAGGGAGAAGAACAAACAAAAAGAAAACTACAAGAGTTGACCACACATCCAAATACCAGAAGCTCATCAAGCACTGGGTGAAACGGGTCCCCTATTTTGTATTTACATCGGAGCAGAGGCCACCGTCTAAGCTTCTTCCGATTGCTCTGATAAAACATCCTGAGAAGAGCAGCTTAGGGGAGAAAGACTTGATTTCGGCTCACAGTTCCAGCTCAGAGTCCATCGTAGTGGGAAAGTCACAGGGCAGGAGTTGGTTGGTCACTTGAGCAACAGAGTAAGGCAGGCTCTCCTGTAACTGCTGCGTACTGTGGCTAGCATCTTCAGGCTCTGAAGCCTTGATGACTGACTGCCTACTACAGCCTGGAACTCTGAGCGAAAGAAACTGTTCATCTCTTAGGTTGTTTTTTGTTATTGTTGGTTTTTGCTTAGCTGGTTGATTTTTGTTTTTTGTTTTTTGTTTTGTTTTTTTTGCCTTGACTCATTAAGAAATACTGAGGACAGAATTCTCCTTCTCAACAAAGACAAATAGATAGGGATGGCTTTGTCCCGTTTGTCTAACTCAGTTGATCAACACTGAATAGCCAGTTGCCACTGCTGTTTTTATTTTTGGTCCTAAATATCATTTTCCTTTTTTGTCTTTCCTTATATATAAATAATAAATAAATAAACAATAAATACATAATCCTATAATTTGGACAGGCATTTAAAAAAAAAGAAAATGTTTAGAAGTCAGTAAAGTTCTAGGATTTTTTTCCAAAGAGCATTTACCTAAAAAGGAATGATAATAATAAATTTCTCCAAAGTTTTGATGTTTGAAAATTGCCCATTTGTGACCCATATGTAATGATCTGCTCCAGTGCTGGAGTGGATAAATATATATGAAGCCAGTGTTCCTTAATGAAATTACAGGCTGAGAAGCTTTTTAGAAAGTTAGTCCTCCTCTGATTCCTTCCACAGACATCTTGGAGATGTTCAGAGGAAGGGCAGAGGCAGGGTTTAAGGATATATACCATGTGATTTTGACACCACCCAACCAATTTCAAAACTTGTGCAACAAGGTGAAAAGCAGGCCACCCCTTCTCAAGATTTCATTTTCTTAGAGAATGAAGCACAGTGGTATTCACTAAACTGTACTCCCTAGCGAGGATCGGATATTGCAGTTTTCTTAGCACTCATCAAAAATTAATCACCGTGTCAGCTCACCCTTAAAATTCTTCCAGTCAGAAAGACCTGTCAACAAAACACACAGACACACAAATGATACACACACACACACACACACACACACACACACACACACACACCATGCCTCCACTTTCTCATGCACTAATTAAAGTTCTAATGTGTAGAATCAAATTGAATCACAAATAGAATCCCTTCGCTGGATTATAACACATTCCATTTTCTTTAGTTTTATACTCTGAAAAGTGTTGGCTGCTAACCACTTCAAAGAAAGTAGGCAAACAAGGAAACAGTGGTTGCTATCTTGTTACTCAGCCTATTGGCTAACCCCATCCACGCCCCTACTTGCTCTGTTCCAGGGATTGTCTCACTTAGAATTTCCAAATTGCTCACACAGTTTACAAGGTAGTTAAAATCAAGTCATTACACATTTGAATGGAATTTTGGATCTTAATTTATTGCCTCAAAAATACCAAGAACTGAGCTGGGAAAGATGGCTCAGGGGTTAGGAGCACTGGGTACTCTTGCCAAAGGCGTGGGTTTGATTCTCAACACCCATATGGCAGCTCACAACCATCTGTAACTTCAGTTCCAGTGGGCTTTGTTGCCCCTTCTCTGGCCTTCATTGGCACTGGGCATACACAGTGTGCACACATACACAGGCATACACACATAGTTTACACACATTCACAGGCATACATACAGACAAAACACTCATTTATGTAAAAGAAAATAGCAAGAAACACCTACTGACCTGCTAAGTTACATTATTCTGGAGTTCTTGTTGAAGCAATATGATTCATGAGGTGGCATGTGCAAAAGAATGTGACACTTGTTCAGTAATATTACTTTTATTCTGTTATTCTTACGTGCATTTGGAAAAGACTTTCAAATAGAGAAACCCATAGACAGCGTTTCTTCTTTAGGCAAGAGAGGAGAGAGAGAGAGAGAGAGAGAGAGAGAGAGAGAGAGAGAGAGAGAGAACGAGCAATGGGCTTGTGATTAACTTCTAGCAAGGCAGAAGCAACTTGTGGCTACAAATGTTAGCTAAATGTTTTTAAATGTTTTATATATATATATATCACTTAAAACTGGTTGTGTACCCACTCATTAATTTCTTTCCTCCCCTTACTACATATGAAAGGCTACTGAAGCATGGCCCTGGGGGGATTGGCTTTTCTACTGAAATTTTACCTCTAGGAAGGAACTCATTTGTGTTCTTTGCCCAGCCTTGTAGGAGATGTTATAATAATAATAATAATAATTGGAATGATGAGAAAATAAATTAGCATTTATAGCCTTTACTTGGGAAATACACATTAATAATATTCCCAGTAAAATTTGCACACTAGTACTCAATTATTCCAGTGCTGAGATTCCCATCATTTAGGTTAGACCATGCCACCCACTAGTTCCTGTTGTCACCAGCCACACACATTCCTTTTCTTATTCAGCTTCTGACCCTCTGACCCACCTTGCCACTCTCTGCAGCACTACTTCCCCCTTAATTCTTGGTGATTTTAGCATAACTCACTTTGGAGGGCTGTGACAATAGCTTGTTCAATAAGGCACTTTCATGCATGAGCACTTAAGTTGGATCCCCAGAATGCACACAGAAAAGCTGGCACAGGACACACTTGCAGTCCCGTTGTGAAGGCCCAGACAGGCAGATCCCTGGAGCTAGCTGGCCAGCCAGCCTGGCCAGCTTGGTAAGTAGAGGCTAATGAGAGACCCTGACTCAGCAAACAAGATGAGCCGTCTCTGGGATTAACACCAGAGTTGTCCTGTGGCTTCCACACCCACTTACACAAATGCACCCTCGTGTGCACTCGCATGCACATACTAGACTTTGGAAGAAATAGAGTTATTGTTCCATGCAGTGGGTAGAATTATACTTCAGAAAAAATTGAAACAAAATGTGCTTTTACCCTGCCAAAATTGAGGGAAGGGGATACAGCTCAATGATAGACCACATTATACCCCCAGTATCATAGGTCTATAGATGATAGGTGATAGAAGGTAGGTAGATAGATAGGTTGATACATACATACATATGTACATACATACATACATACATACATACATAGATGATACACACCAACAATAAGATAGGTATAAACTCAAAACCTTTTGGATGAATTGAAATATAATTCAATTTATAATATTTAAGTGGTTTTATAAGGTTTTACTGTCTGATATTTTTATTTTGTCTCCTTATATATGTTATAAGTAACCAAGGAATAGAAAAGACAAGATGAGAACCTCTCAGAACAGAAATTCAGTCTTATCCAAGATCCAACTTGACATTTAAGGCATAATAATCCCCCCTAAAACTTTAAGGTACAATTCTCCCCACATACCATACTTTAACACCTCTAAGATTTGGGGGGAACTGGAGGTATAAATCATTGGTGAATACTAGGGTGGCATTCCATAGGTCCTATGTTTAATCCCCACCTATCATGGTAAGAAAACAAATATAGATCCAATTTATAATTAGTGAGGTCTTTATGGCTGTCATGTGTCAGGTGGCAACAACGGTATTGTCTTCATCACCGTTGCGAATATTGCCATTTCAAATCATTGCATGCATTTTTGCTTAAGTGTTAAGTGTAGTAGCTGTTGTAAGATATGCTTACCATTTTTGAACTATGACTCAACATTGAAATGGAAAGTTGTTATCTATGCAGAAATGCACCCAACAAAGCAGCAGGATGGAAATTTGGTATCAGTGAAGCAAATGTTCATTGCTAGGGGATAGATGAGATTCTGCTCTCCTCCCGGAGCAGCACGGGCTGCTCTCTGAGAACCAAGAAGCAGCGATGCAGACCGGTAAAGGGTACCATTATCATATCTGTACACTGTTACATATGCACCACTGGTACACAAGCAAAGGAATTGTCTTTTTGATGCCAAGCTATGCAACCCAGGTCAGGAGAATTTGCTGAAGGCTTCAGAACGCATGAAACAACTTGCAGGCAATAATTGACTCCTGTCTGTCACGTGCTGTGGAAAAACACCTTCAGAAATATTTTTATAGCTTACTTGCCATGAGGTAGTGTATTTCAACATTGACAATGTTTGAGAAATATATGTATATGTACATACACATACAAGTATATATATGTATATACATACATATAGTATATATCACAGATATAGTAGATATCACATTCTTGTTTGATTAATGAAATGATGAATTTTTATATTCAATTTAGCTTTATTAATTTATAGTTGTTTGTTTTGCCCTTGTATGTCTATTTTACATGTACATACATGAGCACATTCACATACACCAGAGCATGCATATGGGTGTTGGTTCTCACCTTTCCTCTTGTTTAACATAGGGTCTCTTGTTTCTTGATAATTCGCTGCTACATATGCCAGTAAGCAACCCATGCTTCTCTTGTCTCTGCCTGCCAGCCCATCACAGATTTTAGATCACAGACTTACAGTCCTGGGACCCTCTTTACATGGATCCCGAGAATTAGAACAGGCACCCCCACTACACACACACACACACACACACACACACACACACACACACACACA